CTTTAGGCGTATAAGGCTGCAGGATCTTAGGTAGAATCCCTGCAGTCTAGTCCAACCCCCTAAAGCCCCAAATCCTAAAACCACTCCCCCCGGTGCAAGGCCTGCAAGCGCATGTTCCGCGCGCTGCGCCGGCGTCTGGGTGCAAAAGCCCCGCCACCAGGCAACTCAGGGTTTAGGGTTTGGGGTTTCTTGCACGTTGCGTCCCCTATGCTAGGGCCAATGGGACATGTCGTTTGTTTTCCTTTTTTTTGGGTTTCAGAGGTTCGAAGTGATCAACAAAACTTTGGCTCCAAAAGGACTTCGAAGACGGAACAAATAGGGTTTAAGGTTTAGGGGTTTAGGGTTACTTCCAATTTGGCCGTAGGGCCTCCTTGAAGGGTCACAGGGAACCTCCAGGCAAGTAACTGCTGGTTGAGCCGTTGGACCCTAATTACATGGTCCCGTTAAATTATATAATGCCTATGAAGCCCTTTTGTTGAGGTTATAGCTCGGCTTAAACCTGTCTATCAGGCTCGCGGAAAGCCCTATAATATATACTTAGGCCTTAAAGAGGTTCCTATATAGGTACTTTAAGGCCTATGTATTTTTTATAGGTACATGCAGCCTGAGGGTGCCTTAGGGTTCACGGTGTAGGGTTTAGGGTTAAGGGTTTCAGTGTTCCGGGTGTAGAGATCGGACGCCCAAAAATCAGGGGTGGCTCGGTGCCACCAAAACCCTGCAACAAAGGCCCTTAATGTAAGATTACCAGTAGTCGTACGATTCCTGAAATTGCCTCATGATAGGCATTGTATAGCCCTAAGCACTATCTTTAAGCAAGTATTCCGACAGCTACCTGGCTGATAGCCCTACTTACTGAGTCCTTGGGTATAACGCTGTCAGACCACCTCCACCTGCATCTCTCCGTAGCAGGCAAACAGCAGAGCGCGCCAGGCTCGGGTGCATCCAGGGTTTGCCAGCGACGCCAGGACTATATGGGGCTCAAATATGGCGTTATGGTCTTGTCTGCTGCTGGAATGGGATTTATGAGGCTTTCACGGTGTGTTGAAGAGTCTGTGGTATTATAGACTTCGAAGGGTGTATATGGTTTTGTTAAGGTCTACAATTTTCATTTTTTGCAGGATTCTACAGGGGCTTAAAAAGGTTTCTACAAGGCTTGTGGTTTCTGATTGCAGGATTCATTTTCGGGCTTTAGTGAGTGTATGTGGGCTCCTTTTGCAGATCGGTGAGTGCAAGTTTGGAGTGTGCTTTAAGGGTGTAAGAAACATCCGATACTTCATGTACCCTTGGGCTTCAAGCTTTACTGGTTTAGGGTTTGGGGACTATGGGTAAGGTGTATAAAGTCTTTCGGAAGTGTCTCAAGATTCCCATGGTTGTTTCAGGTTTTTGGTGGGGTTTAGGCCGTCTTCAAAGTGTTTTCGAAAGTTTTAGTCGAGTAGATTCTGATGCAGGAGTCGAACATTGCAACAGGCAATAGGGAGAAGAGCAACCAAGAAAGTGTGCCCCTAAACCCTAAACCCTAAACCCTAAACCCTAAACCCTAAACCGTGGATGTATAGAGGGGCCTTCCGGACGATAATCGGGTTCTCGGGTATGTATGTTCTAGGTGATTAGAAAGGTATAAAGCCCTAAACCCAAGACGCTAATTATTCAGTCCTCCACATTATGGGCCCGTTTACATACAGGGTTCAAGAACCCCGCAGTTCTGATTGCATGTAGGACCCTTCCCCAGTGTGGTACTGTGGGGGTCTGAAGACGTGCTACCGCGAACGGTATCCCTTCAGAATCCCTATTACAAAAGTGTAATCTGCCCGAAAACCTTGTATTTGTCAAGACTCCCTGTCGTAAGTACAGTAAGTGTGCCCCAAAACCCAATCTAATGATCAAGGCTGCTACATCATGCTACACCGCTAACCCAGAGAACCCAATACCCCTTAATTAAGGAATATACCTTAAATCATAATATTAAGGCCCCTATAATCATTTAAGGTATATTCCTTAAGGGATATTGGGTTCTCTGGGAAGCTTGTTGAAAGCTCTGAGCAGGTCCATCTAAAGCCTATTCAACAGACTGCCCAGAAGACCTATCTATCTATCCTGTCTATCTATCTATCTATCTATCTATCTGTCTATCTATCTATCTATCTATCTATCTATCTATCTATCTATATATATATATATATAGACCGCGTAGTTGTAATCCCAACCGCGATCCCCGGATTGAAGATGTTTTCCACTGGAGTGGGTTTGGGGCGTCTGCACCCTTTTCATGTAGCCCCTTGTTCTCCACCACCTTCGCCTGTTGCCAGCCCTTCTACCTGGCACGCCGCGAAGCGGAGACAGGACTACGTCTACGTTTGTTCCGTGCCCTAAACCCAAAACCCTAAAGCCCCAAAATCCTGCAAACCCAACCCAAACCCAAAGCAAACTGGATTTAGGGATCTAAGGTTCCGGCCGCCCGACAGAGCATGAGCGAATACTATAGGGGCCTGAATAATTACCTATGTTATTTTGGGGGCTCCTTATTATAATTATAGTACAATAGGCCCCAAAACCCTATTCTAATTATTAAGGCCCCTTTATTATGCTTTTTCTGCAGAGTCTCAAAATTCATGTCTCGCAAGCTCAGATTCTGACAGCGAGGATGTGATATATGGTTGCAGAAGCAACATGTACAGTAACACTCACAGCGTGCACAAACCCTCCTCTACATGAGTAGTTCTCGAAATTAGGGTCCTTTTTTATAAGGGTGCCGTGTTTGGGACCTAAAGTAGAATTCCCTAAAACCCAAAACCCTAAACCCTAAATTACTTAAAGTAAAGGGACCCTCACTTAGAGAAACCCCAAGACCCTAAACCTAAACTAGAGACATGGGCGGTAGGAAAAGAGGCCTCAATGCAAAAACTAGAGAACTACCCAATCCCAAACCCTAAACCCCGAATCCTGAATTAGAGAGCTACCTAAACCCAAAACCCTAAACCCCAAACTAGGTAAAAGTCCGTCTATCGTAGATAACAAACCCCAAACTAGAGAACAACCCTAAACCTCCTAAGCCCTAAACCCTAAACCCTAAACCCTAAACTAGAGAACTAACTACCCGCAACATTGGTTTTAGGATTCCAGGGCTTAAAGCTCCAACCCTCGGTCCTCAACCTGAGACCGTTCAGTCGGAGAAGCACAACTCTTGGAAAGATACTATCAGGGTTTTAGAGTTCAGGGCTTCGGGTTTGAGGCTTTAGGGTTTTAGGGTTT